CAGCCCTTCCCCCCCCAGCCGGTCCCCACGCGCTCTCCGCTGCAAAAGAGAGGAGTCCCTTGTCTCTGCTTTCGAGAGGCATGCCCCTTTCCACGGACCTGAGCCACAGACCTTTTTCTAAGGCTGCTGGACCTCGTCCCCGGCTTCAGAAAGGTCCCGGCTGCGCATGGCGAGGGAGGGCACGCCGGGTGTCCCCGAGGAGCAGCGGTTTAAGAGAGGCAGGTGCGGAGCGGGGTCCGGTTTATGCAGCCCTGTAAAATATTGTATAAACAAAACGCTTCAAAGATCTTTTAATAACTCCTGAAATTAAATGTTTGAAACTGGCCCTTGTAAACTCTTCACCAGCGTTTAATTGCCTCATAAAACAGTATGCTAAAGAAAGTATTAAAGGGGGTTTTTGCTGCTCTCAGATCACTTTAACCCTTTGGGGACCTTGTGTCCAGCTGTTTCTCGCCCGCTGCCTAATGAGCAGTTACCACCTTCTTTCTTTGCCTTTCATGATACATCGCTGGCTCTGATCCACCAGACCTCGACCTCTTTGCATGGCTCAGGGGTGGCACAGGCAGCGGCCGGTGCGGCGAGGACAGCTTCATCTCTGCCTCTGACCCTTGGGATTTCGGCAGCGGGTGCAGGGCTGCGGCTCTTCCCTCTCTGACACTGGGGCCCAGCAATTTCTCGACGCGCCTTTCTGTCCCGAGGCGAATCTAGGAGCCGCGTTCAGATGGTCTGTGCCGAGGAAAGCTTGGCTAATTTACAGACCTCCCCAAATCCCTGCTGGGGCCCGGAGCAGCAATCCTCCGTGCGCGTAATTGGCAGCTGGTGCGTGGGGAGCGACGGTGCAGCTGAGATAACCGCAGCTGTACCCGTCGATACGAGGGCAGCCCCATCTCCCCAGCCACGCACCGGCTCCCACCCCTGAGGCCTCTCGCATCCCCTGGCTGCTGCCGCTGCCTTTAGGGGACACCTGGGTTTGCTGCCGAAAGCACCGACCGCTCCTCGCCGTAGCCGAAACGCAGCCCCTTGGTTGCAAGCTCACCCCTTACTGCGGGCAAGCAGGCAGCTCGGGATGACCGTCCCCTCCAAGGGGGAATGCTTTCTTTACTCAGGCATTTTTGATGCATCTGCAAGTGACAGCCTGTTTGGAGAAAGTTGGAGTGAGTTCGTGTGAGTTTTCCCTCTCTGAGTTTTTTGTCACCCGCCCTTTTGCTCTGCCGAGGGCTCATCTTGCCCTTGTATCGTAATCGAGTACAGCCGGGGGCCTCTGGCTGCCCCGTTCTGGGTAGGCTCTGCCAGGCGCCGTCATCCTGCTCCTCTTCCCTGAAGTCCAAGAGAAGCCGTCCAGCCTCTCCTGGATTCTCACCGCTATTTTGACAATCCAGCCACCGCTGGATTGTCAAAACCCTCCGGAGGGGAAAGTCTCTGAATTAAAATCTGAAAGGGAGATTGTAGCTTGAGCAGTCAAGATCCCATAAAGGTGGGGGGGGGTGTTCCCCCAAAAAAGCTTGAAATGGCTGGTTTGCTTGTGGAGTAACTCTCTGGCATTGAGATTGTATCAGTGCTGCGGTCACGTAAAGATATAACTTAAACCATATCACCTATGAGCTCCTTGGAGCTCTAGTAGCTTTAAGAACAAGAGAAGATGTTGCAGGTTCATTGCTAATTTCTCCATTGTCTTTTATGTTCACAGAACACACAAACCCGATCATTGCTGTTTTCATTTATATGCGTAGAAAAGCCAAATACGGAGTTCTAAAAAGTGTGTAGAGTTTGGGAATTGCTGCTGCAGGAGAAAATCCGAGGGGTAGGTGCTGTGCAGCTCCTCGGTGCAACGGTTGTGCAGCCCACGCTCCGTCCCGGTGCAGCCTAGGTCTCCGCCTGGGTGCGGCGCTCGCTCCTCCTCGGCTTCCCCCCCGCCCCCATCTCTAGAGAAGCCGATTTATGGCCGGCCCTGCGTGCACCTGGGCTAGATCAAGGAGATTGAGCTCGGTCACCAGGGGCCTTTCCACAAGGGCACAGTAATGGCTTGTAGCAGATGTGAACTGCTCGCTCGCTCTGGGCAGGGCTCTGTGTTACTGCCCACGTGTGAATAGCTGCTGTTTCTGGAGCTGTGCAAACTGAAATGATGGCAAAGCAAAGTTAATGAACGCAATTTCACCCGCAGCCCCAGGAGGTTGTAAATGAGCCAGTATCTGGAGATGTCGGCAAACCCCCTGCTGCAGTTTTCCAGCTTGCCCCGTGCTTTATTTGCTCTGCCTGAGAGGCTGCGGTTTTTTCTCAGATGGCTTTTTCTTCTCTTGCAGTGAGAATGAGGCGCTGTGGAGGGAAGTAGCCAGCTTGAGGCAGAAGCATGCTCAGCAGCAGAAAGTTGTCAATAAGGTAAATCCTGGCCTTCCAGGCGCAGGGATTAGGACGCTCTTGTGGTCGTGTATGCGGTGATGTAGTGACCAGGCTGGGCACTTGCAGGATCGGTGGGATGCAATGGCATTCATTCTGTTTAAGAATAATTTTGATCACCGTGTTTTCTTCCTGTTACCATGAGATTCTGGAAATCCAGCGGGGAGAGGCTAAATTCGGGCTGGCAGCGTTGCAGTGCAGAATTCAGTTGGCTGCCACGTAATGGTTTTACGCCGAGCCTTCACCTTGGTGCTTAAGAGCTGCAGTCAGCACTCTGCCGTGTCCCCCTGTGCCCAGCTCTGGCTCTGCTCCGAGCACCGGGACCGAGTGGTCCCGGGGCTATTTCTGTCTGTGCTTATCCGAGTACTGTGCACACCATAACAGCTTTTCCTTTTCTCTCCTCACAGCTTATCCAGTTTTTGATTTCATTGGTGCAATCCAACCGTATTCTTGGGGTGAAGAGGAAGATGTAAGTCTGCATTTCTACATCCAGATAAAGATTCCCTGTCTGAGAGAATAAAGAGAGGATCAGCAGAGTGGGTCCCCCAGATCTCTGTCTTCTGTAGCAGCCTTGCCAGTGGGGTAGGACTGGACAGCGGTCATTGGGATCATGTGAGCCTTCAAGTACTTGCTCCAGCCAAAACCAGCTAACACTGCTATGCAACTGATACCAAGAAGGGTTTGCGATCCAGGCCACATAAGCCCGTGCAGAACCTACTTCATAGCTAACCACTGCACTATGTGGAACCGCCGCTGCGCTATGGCAGCATACATAGTGAGGGCTGGGGTCTTGCACTGCTAAAATAGTCTCTTGGCACTGCCACGATGTTTCTGTCGTTACACGGAAAGGGAAACATTGGACCATCCAGACCAGCCTCCTGCTGTCACAGGCTGCTGTGACGCCTTCACAGACTAATCAAGCCTGTCCTCGAACGTGCTGTGGATTATTTTGCCCCTTGCTAGTTGTGCTGGATGACCGTTCAGTACTTAAGTACCATAAGCGATTAAGAACGATTCCAGGCTAATTTGTTTTGGGCAGTTAATAGTTGCTTGGTTTTGTCCCAGGATTGTGCTGTAGCACAGTTGCTTTTCCCTCCTTGGCTTTTACAGATGGTTCTCGTGTTATGTCTCATCTGACACTCCACCAGGCTGAACGGG